ATTTTGCTTTAATTTAGTGATATCAAATAATAATAATAAAAGTTTAAATCAATTTAAACAATTAAATGATAATCAAGATGAAATAAATAAATGTGATGATGATAATAAAAGAATTTATTCATTTAACCCTTTCCGGCCGGATGTTTCCATATGGAAACATTTTCCCCTATAGGGGTACGGCATTTTTCAAATAGCCGGCCGGAAAGGGTTAAAACTAATAAACTAACTTCAACAAGTAGATAGACATTTGTTTCAGTCATTCGTCTTTTTTTGTTAAAATAGAAATCTTTTTTTTAAAAGAAGATTCAATTGATGCATATTTATCAAAATGTGAATTAGGTAAATCATCAAAATATTCTCATATAAAATTATCACCAATAAATAAAGATTGTGGTTCGAATTTTGTTTTTTCCATATTTTTTTTAATAAATATATTTATTTGATTTTTAAAGAACTTGGAAGATTAGATTTTGAAATTGTTTGGAAACAATCTGAATATAATTTAATAATAAGATTATTTCGATTAGACAAACTTCGATCAAATAATCAAAATCAATATTCTCATATTTATCTTAAATTAGATCTTCTACCAGCTATTCACAAAGTAAATTTAACTTCATTTTATTTTTTACATTTTATTTTCATACCATTTAAAAGAAGGTTTATCAAAAAGAATTTTCCTTAAAAAAAACATATTCACTTCGATTTGTTAGCGTTTCTATCAATAGAGTATATCAATCTCATTTTATTTATGTTATCGTTTCTCGAAATAAATTTATCTAAATAAATTGGTATTGAGAGAGATTTTTAGAAAAATTAAATAAAAATATCTAAATAAACTCTTAAATGAATAATTTATGTTCAAACTAAATATATGAATGGATAAAGATAAATTTGTTTTCGATGATAAATGCATTATTAAATATGATTAGTCAACTGAATTAAAAAGTGGTATGATTGATAAAAGAATAAATGGTGATATCAATGAAACACTTGTTTATGATGGTGTATCATTAGATGATATCAATTATAAATCAGTTAAGTAAGATAATATTTATTAAAATAAAACTAATAATGTTGTTTTTTAATTTAAAAACAAACAAACAAAAAGATTCTTGGTCTATGATAAAGATTCATCTGTTAATCACTTTCTTGGTGAATATCGTTTTAAATTATCAACAATTCAATCTGATCAATATCAGATTTATTCGGTTTATTTACAAAATAAAACTGATGTAAGTATTTATTATATATATATATAATATTCATTTATTGTTTTAATTCGTTTTGTGATTAACTGCCATCCATTTCAAAATCGAAGGCGAGTGATTACGAGTCGAATAACTTGGGAACGGAAGCAGCTATGGAAAAATTTCATTGATCAGTAATGGATCAATAGGATAAAAGTCTGCTGAACATTTTGAAAATAGCTTTTGGAATGCTTTTTTTCGTTGGATTTTGAACTTGAATTAAATCATTCAATAGAAAAAATTGTTCTCTTTCGATCTACACAAGGCCAAGCTCAATAGCTTGCTCTGTTTGGGAGCTATAAGCATTTTCCTGAGATCCCCGAAATCGACCAAGTGACATGGAATCACACTTAAAAGCATTATATTATAGGTAATATGACCACGCTGAATTCAGTGGTGATGTTTGTTTTTTATTTCAAAGTATTCTGAGATCACTGTATCGAGATTTTCAATATACGTGTTGTTTAAATCAAATAGCAGCAAAAACTAGATTTACGAAAACTTTTGTATAATGATCTCAGAGTACTTTGAAATAAAAAACAAACATCACCACTGAATTCAGCTGGTCGATTACCTATAATGTAATGCTTTTAAGGGTGATTCCACGTCACTTGGTCGATTTCGAGGATCTCAGATAAATGCTTATAGCTACCAATCAAAATCCAACGAAAAAAGCGTTCCAAAAGTTATCTTCAAAATATCTTCTTAATGGTGAAAATCGCAGCTCCATAGTTGCTTCCGCTCTCAAGTTATTCAACTCGCCTTCTATTTTGAAATGGATAGGAGATATAATGAAACATATGTTGGATAAATAGCATTGATTTGTTATTGTAAAAATTTATTAGTATAATTGAAATAAATTTCGTTAAAATAATCAGTAAATTAAAATAAAAAGTATTTAAATGTTTTCTTTTTTGAGATATGTTCGATTAAATATTGAAAAATTGAAATAAAATTGTTTTAGTGTGAAAATGATGAAGATATAAATGAACGTGGAAAAATTTTAATTAGTCTTATGTATTCAAATGAAACATCAAATTTTCATGTTAAAATAAAACGAGCTTGTTATTTATTACCAATTGATACTGATCGTAAATCAAATCCTTATTGTCAATTATGCTTATTTTCATTTGATCATTTATCGAACAAATTGAATTTTAAAACGGATATTAAAAAACAAACTTTGAATCCACAATTTAATCAAGAATTTATTTATAAAAATATTCAATTAAAAAAGTTAATTAAAAAAACATTACAAATAACTGTTTATGATAAAGATTTTGGAAAAAAAGACAATTTTATTGGTAACTAGATTTTATCTATTTATTAATAATTCTCTCGACTTCTTTGTTTTTTTTCTTCAATATAGAAACAAATTAGATCTCAAATATGAGAATTCGAACTCTAATATTGAAGTTTATTTATTAGAAATAAATCATTTTTACTAGAGTAAATCATTGATTATTAAATGTCTTATTTTATTAAATTTGATTAGTGATAGTTTAATTCAACAATTAAATAATACTTTTGTTTTGAAAAGTTAAGAGATAAGAATTGAATGTTTATTTATTTATTTATTTTAAAATAAATAACTAAATAAGATTTCTCTAATACTAGGTGGATTTCAAATAGGTCAATCAGAAAGTGAAGATTATTTGAAACATTGGTTCTTAATGATAAAATGGCCAAATCGATCAATTGATGTGTGGCACAAATTAAAAAATGAACATTTTTATTGATTATTAACTAAAGAACATTTTTCAAAACATATTTATATGATCAATTATTTAATTATCAAATTTTCAATGGAATTCGACAAAAAAAAAACAAAATAAATCGTTGTTTCGAATGAGAATTTGTCTTCATTGAACAATAATACGTCTTAACAATAATATATTCCAATAAATGTTCTTTATTATCTTTCTTTTCTCTTTTTACATTACTATTCACTAAAAACAATTTTCTTAATTCTCCCTTATTATTTTATTCGACATATTATATCCTAACGTTTATTTATCAATAATATATATGATCTATTCCACATAAGTCACAACCTACTCTGCACAATCGACGTCGTCAGAGTTTGCTCAATTTTATTTATGCTGTCGAGGCAAGAGTTCTTACAATTTCGACGCAAGTCGTTTGAAAAAATATTGTTCTGTTCTCGAGATATTTAAATTTTTCTCAGGTCACTATCGCCAAAAAAAACGTGCATTTTTTGTGATTTTCTATGTCTCATCAAGTATACATGTCTTTTACTTGAGATTTTTACTGTATGATGACTTGACCGATACTACAAAGTACATGACAAAATTGTTATTTTTTTAAATATTTTTTGCACTTGCATATTTCATGAATGGATAAAACTAGAGAGCTGAAATTTTGGCTACAATGAGTTCTCATTCCTCTAAAAAATTCAGCTCTCTAGATAGTTCCTACTATTCAGGAGACTTTCATCAAAAACTTCGTTTAGATTAAAATTGTGATCTTGAGAGAGTCCGATCCAGAGCAAAATCAAATTTATAGAAGTCAGTCTCATGTAGGTTTGAAGTACCCACTGAGTACTACGGAGTTATGGAAAAAAATTGACGTACAATCTCAAAGAATGGTTTTAGGAGACTTATTGAAAAATCTTCAACAATGAACTCTTTTCTGTAGGAAATTGACCTAAGCTCGCTTAAAAATTATTCAAAGAGTTTTATCATATCGATTTTGTGAATCAATAGTGCATTCATTTAAGCTCATTTTTTTCTCAATAGTACAGAATAGTATCTTGCGAAAAGTTTCAATATCTCAAGAACGGAAGAATAATTTTTTTTCAAACGACTTGCATCAAAATTCTTGAAACTCCCCACTCCTACAACACATATTAAATTGAGCAAAATCGAATGACCTCGATCGAGCAAGTTAGGTGGTACCTTATATGAACTGGGTCATATAGAAAAATAGAACAAATTCCATCAAATAAAAAAG